ACAACCTGCTACAGGCTGCTCATGTCTACCGCTGCATAGTGATCTGCACAAGTATATGAGAAAATGGTCCAAAGCCAGGGATAAAGCCACCCAAGAAAGGATTAGAGAAACACAGTGTTGAGAGCTCTCACAGGACTGAGAGTAACTCCTGCTCTCTTTTAGAAGAGTAGAAAGCCTCATCAGGTACTGGGCATTAGAAGGTAGAAGAAAACTAGGAAGACTACATTATATCTAAATGTAAAGAGTACTTAAGTATTGAATGCTATACAGATATAAGAAGGATGGTGTTGAAGATCAAAGGCAACATGGAAGGTTGAATAAACAAAATCTATAATATCAATCAATATTTTTCTTAACAGATATAATAAAAGAGGAATATTTAGGAGGAATACATATCAAATATATGAAAAGAATAACATGTCATAAACTATAAATATATAATTTTTATTTATCAGTTAGAAGAGAAAGAGGAAGCAAACACAACAAATTACTAACTGTGATATATAAGCCTGAATCTAAGTATTATTCACATTTTATTTAATGATTTTTTTGTAATAGATATATTCTAAAATCAGTATCATTTCATAAGTTAGGTTACAAATTGGGTATGAGATCTGAGAAAGCAGAAAGATAAGAGAAGCAAGGGAAGAGTGACATGAAGGCTCACTGGGTCACTGGCAGCCACTCAATCTCAGTAAGGTCTGTGCAGGCTCTGGTTATTCATCAAGTGTATTGCTGTTCATCTTTAAAAAGCTGTTACTATATTCCGGGATCCTTCTTTTCTAAAATTCTTCTCAAATCTATATTCTGTGCCACAAAGACAGAGTTCTTTGCCTAACCCAAATAAGTACAGTTCCTTATTTTGTCTATAAGGTAAACAGATGGTATATTTAAAAAGCATTCATCTTCCATAAGGCACTTTGCAGTCACACTGTTAATGTCTAGTGTTAATCATGTTTTCCAGATGACTAATGCTTTTGTTGGCATCTACAATGGAAGAAGAAATCTGGCCCCCGGAATGTGTATTTCTGCTTCACATTCCTCAGCCAGCCAGCTGTCAGTGTGAAGAGATACAATCCTCTCTGAGCTATTTCAATTCTGTTATTTAAAAGTAGGCTAAGTAAATATTGGGCACTCATTAAGCTGTTTTGTGCCTACATCTTTCCCTTATTTATATCATTAGATCTTCTACAAAATATAATCACTAAGCTGAAAGAGGAGAGACACAGGTGCCAAAAGAATGACTAGAGTGAAGAAAAACAGGCCAGGACTACACACACCTCCTTCCCAGAGGATGTGTCTGGTCCCTGGATGAGCTCACGTCTGCCATGTGCCATCCTGGTAGCACTTCCTTCATTAATTTCTCACTCAGATGCCCTTCTTCATTTCCGATCAAAACTCTTCAAGCTCTGTCTCAAATGACACTTCTTTCATGGAGCAAACTTCTGTGTTCTAGCTGTTACTGAGCTTTACTGATAGAATTTCATAGAATCTTGAGATTTTGAAGGTAGAGGGGAATTACAGTAATTTAAACCTAACTTTCTTCATAAACCCTGGGAGAAGTGACTATTTTCTGAATTTGTTACAAAGTAGTTTAGTAATACACTGGAAAGTATCAAGAGCTCTGTCTGCTGTTCCATTTGTAAAGGAAGAGGTCAAATATTATTTATCTTCAATTATCTAAGCTGGAATAAGGTGGTTATATCCCTCCACAGCTGATTGAGAAAGAAGAGGTGCTAGCTGGAGAAAAATCACAGGCTTTATTGATAGTAAACAATGCTGCTATAGAAGCCAGAAGCAAGTTTTTACCTGGAATCTGCTGTCATAATAAGCTCTGTAAATCAGAACAGCTGAAGCACATGTGAATTACGACTTCTAAAAGATGCAAAAGGAAGAAATATTCCATGATCTGAAACAACTCTGTTCCTTTATAAACAGGGCAAGCTCTTCTAATTCCAAAGTCAAGGGGATGATGCATTTTCCCCCAGCTAGATTACAATGAAAAGTGAAATAAAGTGCCAGTGCCATGATATAGAATATAAAACCACTGTCTGCGACACCACCATCTCATAGGAGTGCCACCCAGGGCTACCTGGCTCCACTTTTATCCAGCTTTTCACTAATGGCCTGACAAAAGCAATAGAAGACAGTCCAAATGCTTGGATCCCTACCACCCATATGAGACCTAGATGAAGTTCATGGCTCCCTACTCTGGCCTGGCCCAGGACTGAGTGTGATGGCCATCCGTGAGCTGAACCAGCAGATAAGATTTTTCTTTCTGTGTCTCTTCTTCACCTTCTTTCTCTGTAACACTGCTTTTCAGATAGCTAAAATTTTTCAGTGAAATAAAAAACAAACCTTCGATACATTGTTTTTCCTTACAATGTATATCAATAAGATCAGTGCTGTGGCATAGTGCATAAAGCCACGAACTGTGGTGCTGGCATTCCATATGGGTGCCAGTTCAAATCCCAGCTGTTCCACTTCTGATCAAATTTCCTGCTAATGCATCTAGGAATAGCAGCAAAGGATGGCCCAATGACCTGGACCCTTGCACCTGTGAGAGACCTGGAAAAGGCTCCCAAAAAATAAATGGAAGGTTAGATGAACCCAACCTTCCCACTCTGGGCTTTGGACAGACCTAGCTCCAGTCACTGCAATGTTTGGAAGAGTGACCAGGAGATGGAAGATTTCTCTCTATATGTAAATCTTTCAAATTAAAAAAATCATTAAAAAATGCATGTAGTGTTATTTTTTTAAATGCACACCCGCACAATGTTTTCAAATTTACAAGAGTGGGCCCACTAGACAATCAAAATGCTATGTGAGAAAACTGACTAAACCCAGGAATGTTTAAAAATTCTGGCTGGACCTGGCACGGTGGCCTAGTGGTTAAAGTCCTTGCCTTGAACATTCTGGGATACAGTATGAGCTCCGGTTCTAATCCCGGCAGTCCCGCTTCCCATCCAGCTCCCTGCTGGTGGCCTGGGAAAGCAGTCGAGGACAGCCCAAAGCCTTGGGACCCTGCATCCGTGTGGGAGACATGGAAGAGATCCTGGATTCTGGCTTCGGATTAGTGCAGTACTGGTCTTTGTGGTCACTTGCGGAGTGAATCATCAGATGGAAGAAAGATCTTTCTCTCTGTCTCTCCTCCTCTTTGCATATCTGACTGTGCAATAAAAAAAATTCTGGCTGATTGTTTTGATTGGAAAGACAGATTTACAGAGAGGAGAGACAGAGAGGAAGATCTTGCATTTACTGATTCATTCTGCTTATGGCTGCAATGGCTGGAGCTGAGCAGATCCAAAGCTAGGATCCAGAAGCTTCTTCCAGGTCTCCCATGTGGCTGCAGGGTGCCAAGGGCTTGGGCCATTTTCTGCTGCTTTCCCAGGCCATAAGCAGGGAGCTGGAAGGGAAGTGGAGCATCTGGGACATGTACCGGCACTCATATGGGATCCCAGCACTTGCAAGATGAGGATTTAGCCAGTCAGCCATTGTGCCGGTCCTGATTTTTCTGGTAAGGCTACTTTATAAAAGGGAATAGAAGGGCCTGGCAGCGTGGCCAAGCGGCTAAAGTCCTCGCCTTGAACGCACCGGGATCCCATATGGGCACTGGTTCTAATCCTGGCAGCTCCACTTCCCATCCAGTTCCCTGCTTGTGGCCTGGGAAAGCAGTCGAGAACAGCCCAAAGCCTTGGGATCCTGCACCCGTGTGGGATACCCGGAAGAGGTTCCTGACTCCTGCTTCGGATCGGCATAGCGTCAGCTGTTGTGCTCATTTGGGGAGTGAATCATCGGATGGAAGATCTTCCTCTCTGTCTCTCCTCCTCTCTGTATATCTGACTTTCCAATAAATAAAACAAATCTTTAAAAAAAAAAGGGGGGGGGGGGAACAGAAGCATTAAAAAAACGTTGTGGATATAGTTGGAATCTGGGAGACAAAAGTTTTAGCTTTCAATTTGCCACTGTTCCTCCATCTATCCATACATCTCGACATTCATTTATTTATTTATTTATTTATTTATTTATTTATTTTTTAAGATTTATTTTTATTATTTTTTCATTGGAAAGGCGGATATACAGAGAGGAGAGACAGAGAGGAAGATCTTCCGTCCGATGATTCACTCCCCAAGTGAGCGCAACGGGCCGATACTATGCCGATCCGAAGCCAGGAGACTCTTCCAGGTCTCCCACGCGGGTGCAGGGTCCCAAAGCTTTGGGCCGTCCTTGACTGCTTTCCCAGGCCACAGGCAGGGAGCTGGAAGGGAAGCGGGACTGCCGGGATTAGAACCGGCGCCCATATGGGATCCCGGGCATGCAAGGCAAGCACCTTTAACCACTTGCGCCACCGCGCCGGGCCCGACATTCATTTCTTTTTGAGGAACATTTATTTATTTATTTGAGAGGCAGAGTTTCAAGACAGTAGGAGAGACAGATTTTCTTTCTGCTGGGTTGTTGCCTAAATGACAATAAAGGCCAGGGCTGGGCCAGGCTGAAGCCAGGAATTTCATTCAGGTCTCCCACAATGGATGAAGAGGCCCAAGTACTTATGTCATTTTCTCTTGCTTTGTCAGGTTTAGTAACAGGGAACCAATTCCAAAGCAGAGCTGCCAGGTCTCAAATTGGGACCCCTCCAGCAGCTTAACTGGCTACATCCAGTGTTGGTCCCCAGCTGTTCATTTCTTTCTTCAACAAACATTCTTTAAATACCTACAACACTGTAGGTACCTTGCTGTGCAGACCTATAAACCAGGCAGATATATGGCAATAACATTCAAGAGAAGAACGGACAGTAAAACAAAACAGAGATGACATATATTAACTCTAGTAAGTTCCATTATGAACACAAACAGGTTGGTGTAGAAGATCAGGTGGGAGGTGGCAGTACAAATTAATTTCTGAGTGTGGTTAGCCACACACCTGAAACCCTTCTATGTAACAGCAGGTAAAAACATTGCACTTTGCTGGTACTCAGCAATCTAACATGGAAAACCACATACCGGGTGTAAGGTGCCATTACTGGTCACCGCTGGAGGGCGGGCCCATCGTTCATTTTCCAGCTCTTCCATTACTTGGTTCATGGCACTCTTCAGCCATGTGTCCACAGAAACACCGATTTGCTTTAGCAGGTCCAACCGAGCTTCAGCTTTCAACTTAATTATCTAAGAAAAATTAAGAAAATGGTCAGAAATCAAGGTATTTTCCTCTTAAACTGGCTATATTACTTGTACTTATTAATTTGAACACTCTTGATATTCACCACCTACCACTTCTTCCTTGGCAGAGATACAAATTATCCATTTGGTGAGAAGGAGGGAGAAAGAGGGGTCAGAAGATAGGAAAAACAGGAATGAAAGCATCCTGGCAAATGGTAAATGGCATACCTGCATTTTCCAGGAGCATGTTATTGACATATACCAAATACAATCTGTGAATCTGAAGAGAGGAACACTCCATCATCTGCTTCTGTTTCTGCAAATGAGGCTGTGCCTTAGAACAACAGTCTTCTAGCAGGACTTGTGGACTTCTCTGTGAATGATTTCATCATATCACTCCCCTGCCTGAAAGCTTCAATAACTTCTGACTTCTTACTGAAGTACACAACTAACTGGTTTCTTAACCAGAAGTAAAAAACACTTCAAAATTTGAGGTAACTATTTTCCTCTTCTTTCCATTTGTCTGTGCTCCCACAGTGCCACTTACTACTCAGAATATCATGTGCTCTCAGCCCTTGGTCCATGCTGCCCCTCTGTGGACAACAATTTTGCATGGCTTCTAATGCCTGGTGAGTGTTAACCTTTCCATGGTCATTCCAAATAATATTCTCTTTTTTCTCCTTTCCTTTCCCTTTCTGTCCCCGTTTCCCTTCCCTCCTTTCTTCCTTTCTTAAGATTCCTTTCTTTGAAAGGCAGAGCTGCAGAGAGAGGGAGAGACAGAGATCTTCCATTCATTGGCTCACTCCCCAAAAGGCCATAATGGCTGAGGCTGGATCGGGTCAAGACCAGGTCCCAAGAACTCTATTCAAGTATCCTGGGTTGGAAGTATAGCAGCCAAGACTTGAATCTGTACTCATATGGGATACAGGCACTGCAGGTGATAGCTTACTACAAGGCTGGTTCCTAAATACTACTCATTCTATAGAGATTTTCTTAACAATTCCTCCTTGTTCTTTAGGTAGGTAATCACTCCTTCTCTTGGTTTCTAAGGCAATAGTAAAATTATATCTATCTCATTTAGGATTGGAACACTGACATTCATGTTATTCTCCTAGTAAACTTTTAATAATCTTTTCAACACAGGTCTCCTATGTAAAATTACCTTTACCCTTTTCCCAAGAAAATATTTTCTTTTTCTCCAAATTCAAGAAAGGAAATGATTATTTATTCCTCAGTCCTCAATCCACTAACCATATACAAGAAACAAACAAGTTTTAAAACTGGTTTGTGACTGCTTTGCTCCAATGTACATACTTTATTTATTTTATTTTTATTGCAAAGTCAGATACACAGAGAGGAGGAGAGACAGACAGGAAGATCTACTGTCTGATGATTCACCCCCTAAGTGATCACAACGGCTGGTTCTGCGTTTATCCAAAGCCAGGAGCCAGGATCTTCCTCCAGGTCTCCACACTGGTACAGGGTGTCAAGTCTTTGGGCCATCCTTGACTGCTTTCCCAGGTCACAAGCAGAGAGCTGGATGGGAAGTGGGGCTGCCAGGATTAGAACCAGTGCCCATATGAGATCCTGGTATGTTGAAGATGAGGACTTTTAGCCATTAGGCCACCGCACCAGGCCCCCAATGTACATATTTCTATGGTCAATCAATCAGTAACATTGTGCAGCACTTCTGAAAAGCAATCACTCCTAGCCTCACTCCAGTAACTATATTTTCATTCTTAGCTCTAATTCTCCGCCAGTCCATAAAAACCATGACTAAAAGTGATCAGCTTGAGGTTGGCATTTTGGCACAGCTTGTTAAGTGGCTGCTTGTGATACCATATGGCTACCTGTTCAAGTCCTGGCCATTCCATGTTCATCAGCTCCCTGATAATATGCCTGAGAAGACAGAAGAAAATTACTGAAGTACTTGGTGCCCTGCCACTCATGGGGAAGATATAGTGCACTTCCAGGTTCCTTGCTTTGGCCTGGACAAGCCCTGGCTGTTACAACCACACAGGGAATGAATCAGTGGATAGAGGATATCTCTGTCTCTCTTCTCTTCCTTCAATTCTGCCTTTCAAATCAATCAACAAATCATAAAAAAGTAAATAAATGTGAGTCAACTACAGCTTTCTTAGCTTAAAAAATCCCTGTCATTTAAAAATTATCTATTTATTAGAGAGACAGAAATGAGGGAGAGAGGAAGAAAGATGGGGTTAAGATAAAATGCTCGCATCCACTGATTCACTCCCTAAATGGCACAAATTTGAAGGGTTCTGATCTGGGAGCTCATCCAGATCCCACATGGGTGGCAGAAATCCAGTTACTTCAACAATCACTGTTCTCTCCCATGGCCTACATTAGCAGAAATTTGAAGTGGGACTAGGATTCGAACTCAGGCAGTCTGATAATGGATAGTGGTGTCCCAAGGAAACTCTCAACCACTGCGCCAAAAGCCTGCTTCCCAAGTATACTTTAAAAGGATGTCTATCTACTCATGTACTTTTGTAATGTTCTATGAATATCTTCTATCTCTAGTTAACATCAATTACTGAAAGAGGAATATGAAAGCACAACTATAGACTTGTTTATTTTTTCAGTTTTGTCAGTTTTCACTTCTGGTATTTTGTAGCTCTATTATCAGTCACATATGCATCTAGGGCTGTATATATCTTGCTGAACTGACTTTTTTGAATTATCATTAATTATTCTTCATAACATTCTTTGTTATAAAATCCACTTTATCCAATATTATACAATAACTCCAGTTTTCTAATAATTAGTGTTTGGACCCTGTTCAGTAAGCAATAGCTGAATTTTTAAAAATGGTTTTTATTTTTTAATCCATTTATTTTGTTTCTGCCTTTCAGCTGCTGTTTCCTGCCAACCTCCCTGGAGTCTTTCTTATGCATGTGTACTCAGGTTTTGGCCAAGGATATAGATGGTAATTTATATGTAAATTTGAGGGCTGCCTGACATTCATCCTCAAACCCAAGAAAAGTTCTGGCTGTGCTGCTCTTCAAGTGCTATATAAAGCAAGTAAAGCAAGTAGTTCTGTTCTTTCAAGGGCAAATTCTTCTCCAGTTTTTTTTTTTACATATTTTGTAAAAATTTTATATCAAGGGCCCAGCGGTGTGGCCTAGCCTAGTGGCTAAAGTCCTTGCCTTGAACACGCCGGGATCCCATATGGGCGCCGGTTCTAATCCCGGCAGCTCCACTTCCCATCCAGCTCCCTGCCTGTGGCCTGGGAAAGCAGTCGAGGACGGCCCAAAGCCTTGGGACCCTGCACCCTGTGGGAGACCCAGAAGAAGTTCCTGACTCCTGGCTTCGGATTGGCGCAGCACCCGTCGTTGTGCTCACTTGCGGAGTGAATCATTGGATGGAAGATCTTCCTCTCTGTTTCTCCTCCTCTGTATATCTGACTTTGTAATAAAAAAAAAATAAATCTTAAAAAAAATTTTATATCAAAATTTTGTTTTAATCTTTCAATCCCAGATTGGTAATCATTATCCAAAAGAATTTGGTATATACCAATTTTCCATTACTAAAAGTAGAGACCTTGCAGATACATTCTACAGGTAAAGTAGGATGCACAGATAGGTGTTTGGCTTAGAGGTTAAGATATAAGTGAGGATGTCCACGGAACTTACTGAAACACCTGTTAGAGTTCAAGCCCTGGTTCCAGAGGTTGAATTCCTGTCGCTGGTATAGGAGACCTAGATTGAAATCCCAGCTTCCAGCCTTAGTGGATACTTGGGGTGTGAACCAGTAGGAACCCTCTCTCTATGCCTCTAAATTTAAAAAGAGAGAATTATAAAGAAATCTAAAATCTCTCTTGGCAGTTTACTATTAATGGTAGCATCTCTGTTATAGATGTTTTGATAAAGACATTTTTCTTTGATTTCTTTCAGAATTTATTTATCTTGAAACTCAGAGATATTTCAATTGCTGGTTCACTTGCAAAATGGCTTTAACAGCCAGCACTAGGGTAGGCTGAACCCAGAAGCCAGGAGTTTCTTCTGGTCTCTCACGTGGGTATGGGGTCCCAAGCACCAGGGCCATCCTCTGCTGCTTTCCCAGGTTATCAGCAGGGAGCTGGATCAGGAGTGAAGTAGCTAGGATATGAACCAAAGCTCCATTAGCATCTGCTGCTGCTGCAGGCAGATTAGTTCACAAAGCCATGGTGTTGAGCACGTATAGTTTATTATTTCCATGAACTTCATCAAGTATCCATGGATGAAAAGAGCAATACTTCATAATGAAATGAAATTTATTCCTGAATTGTAATTTAACCTGGAAACTAATCAATATAGTTTGCTATATAAAGAGAATATTTAAAACTGAAATGCTATAGGGCCCGGCGGCGTGGCCTAGCAGCTAAAGTCCTGACCTTGAATGCGCAGGGATCCCATATGGGCGCCGGTTCTAATCCTGGCAGCTCTACTTCCCATCCAGCTCCCTGCTTGTGGCCTGGGAAAGCAGTCGAAGATGGCCCAAAGCCTTGGGACCCTGCACCCGTGTGGGATACCCGGAAGAGGTTCCTGGCTCCTGGCTTCGGATCGGCATAGCACCAGCCGTTGTGCTCACTTGGGGAGTGAATCATCGGATGGAAGATCTTCCTCTCTGTCTCTCCTCCTCTCTGTATATCTGACTTTGTAATGAAAATAAATAAATCTTTAAAAAAAAAATGAAATGCTATAAATACATACAGAAATAAACTGAACAGAATTCAGTACCTGTATCATCATAAAAAGAAAAAAAATCAGTTTAATTTGATAAAGGACACTTGCCAAAATCTAGAATCAACAATGAATCTAATGATGAAAGCCAAAATTTTCTTTCAGTATAAAAAAAGACACAGATATTGTTGCTTAGCTTAACACTTCTATTTAATATTCTACTAGAAGGCCTTATTGTAAGTGCAATAAGCAAGAAAAATAAACAGAAGCAAGCAATGAAAACAAAGAAGCAAAAGTGCTTTTAGTGACAAAAAACAATCACAT